ATTCAATTATGCTAATGAGCTCATAAAATATGCAAACCTTGAATCACAATAACCAATATTGGAGCCAATTTGAGCCTTCCATCTTGAGACATTCAATTATGCTAATGAGTTCATAAAATATGCAAACCTTGAATCACAATAACCAATATTGGAGCCAATTTGAGCTTTCCATCTTGAGACATTCAATTATGATAATGAGCTCATAAAATATGCAAACCTTGAATCACAATAACCAATATTGGAGCCAATTTGAGCTTTCCATCTTGAGACATTCAATTATGCTAATGAGCTCATAAACTATGCAAACCTTGAATCACAATAACCAATATTGGAGCCAATTTGAGCCTTCCATCTTGAGACATTCAATTATGCTAATGAGCTCATAAAATATGCAAACCTTGAATCACAATAACCAATATTGGAGCCAATTTGAGCCTTCCATCTTGAGACATTCAATTATGCTAATGAGCTCATAAAATATGCAAACCTTGAATCACAATAACCAATATTGGAGCCAATTTGAGCTTTTCTGTGATGTTTATCGATGTCATTTTGATATCACAGAAGCATTGTCAAAACATGAAGAAGCAAAAATAAAAGTATATCAGGTGTACAACAGTGACAAGTAAAATATTCAACTGTATGACTTACTGTTCCTCTATCCTTCTTACACTGCACTGCTTTATCATAAAACTTGAGTATATTACCAGCCACTCCCATCGCTTGACATAATGTACTTGATGCAACACAGTCAACATGAGCCACTGTCACTGTCTTGTCCTAAAAAAAATGCAAAAAAGTTCAATATATAGAAGGGTACGTTAATTCAGTGGGCTTGTATTTAATAATGCACCACTGTCATCATGCGTTGCAAAGCATCATGTTTGATATACGAGCCATTTAGTGACAAAGCATAAAAATACATTGATTACACAAAATTCAAATGCTATCAGTTGTATGGTCAGATTGTTTTTTATACTGTTTGAAAGTGACTACATACATCAGTTACCAAAATTGCTGCTTATTTGAGCTTTTCATCTTGACATTCAGTTATGCTAATTGGCTAATTATATATGCAAACCATGCATCACAATTACAAACATTGCAGCTAATTAGAGGCTTTCCTCCTGACATTCAGTTTTGCTAATTGGCTAATTAAATATGCAAACCATTCATCACAATTACTAATATTTTCAGCTCTATCTTTAGTGAGATATTCAAATATGCTAATCAGTTAATTAAATACGCATCACAATTACCAATATTACAGCTAATTAGAGGCTTTCATCACGACATTCAGTTATGCTAATTGGCTAATTATATATGCAAACCATGCATTAAATTACTAATATTTTAAGCTCTCTATCTTTTGTAAGATAATCAATTATTCTAATCAGTTAAATAAATATGCATCACAATTACCAATATTGCAGCTAATTTGAGACTTCCATCTTGACATTCAGTTATGCTAATTGGCTAATTATATATGCAAACCATTCATCACAATTACTAATATTTTCAGCTCTATCTTTAGTGAGATATTCAAATATGCTAATCAGTTAATTAAATACGCATCACAATTACCAATATTACAGCTAATTAGAGGCTTTCATCATGACATTCAGTTATGCTAATTGGCTAATTAAATATGCAAACCATTCATCACAATTACTAATATTTTAAGCTCTATCTTTAGTGAGATATTCAAATATGCTAATCAGTTAATTAAATACGCATCACAATTACCAATATTACAGCTAATTAGAGGCTTTCATCATGACATTCAGTTATGCTAATTGGCTAATTATATATGCAAACCATGCATTACAATTACTAATATTTTCAGCTCTCTATCTTTTGTAAGAAGATGATCAATTATTCTAATCAGTTAAATAAATATGCATCACAATTACCAATATTGCAGCTAATTTGAGACTTTCATCTTGACATTCAGTTATGCTAATTGGCTAATTATATATGCAAACCATTCATCACAATTACTAATATTTTAAGCTCTATCTTTAGTGAGATATTCAAATATGCTAATCAGTTAATTAAATACGCATCACAATTATCAATATTACAGCTAATTAGAGGCTTTCATCTTGACATTCAATTATGCTAATTATATATACAAACCATGCATTACAATTACTAATATTTTCAGCTCTCTATCTTTTGTAAGAAGATAATCAATTATTCTAATCAGTTAATTAAATACGCATCACAATTATCAATATTACAGCTAATTTGAGACTTTCATCTTGACATTCAGTTATGCTAATTGGCTAATTATATATGCAAACCATGCATTACAATTACTAATATTTTCAGCTCTATCTTTAGTGAGATATTCAAATATGCTAATCAGTTAATTAAATATGCATCACAATTACTAATATTACAGCTAATTTGAGACTTTCATCTTGACATTCAGTTATGCTAATTGGCTAATTATATATGCAAACCATGCATTACAATTACTAATATTTTCAGCTCTATCTTTAGTGAGATATTCAAATATGCTAATCAGTTAATTAAATACGCATCACAATTATCAATATTACAGCTAATTTGAGACTTTCATCTTGACATTCAGTTATGCTAATTGGCTAATTATATATGCAAACCAAGCATTACAATTACTAATATTTTCAGCTCTATCTTTTGTAAGAAGATAATCAATTATTCTAATCAGTTAATTAAATATGCATCACAATTACCAATATTGCAGCTAATTTGAGACTTTCATCTTGACATTCAGTTATGCTAATTGGCTAATTACATATGCAAACCATGCATCACAATTACAAACATTGCAGCTAATTAGAGGCTTTCCTCCTGACATTCAGTTTTGCTAATTGGCTAATTAACTATGCAAACCATTCATCACAATTACTAATATTTTCAGCTCTATCTTTAGTGAGATATTCAAATATGCTAATCAGTTAATTAAATACGCATCACAATTACCAATATTGCAGCTAATTTGAGACTTTCATCTTGACATTCAGTTATGCTAATTGGCTAATTGGCTAATTAAATATGCAAACCATTCATCACAATTACTAATATTTTCAGCTCTATCTTTAGTGAGATATTCAAATATGCTAATCAGTTAATTAAATACGCATCACAATTACCAATATTACAGCTAATTAGAGGCTTTCATCATGACATTCAGTTATGCTAATTGGCTAATTAAATATGCAAACCATTCATCACAATTACTAATATTTTCAGCTCTATCTTTAGTGAGATATTCAAATATGCTAATCAGTTAATTAAATACGCATCACAATTACCAATATTACAGCTAATTAGAGGCTTTCATCATGACATTCAGTTATACTAATTGGCTAATTATATATGCAAACCATTCATCACAATTACTAATATTTTAAGCTCTATCTTTAGTGAGATATTCAAATATGCTAATCAGTTAATTAAATACGCATCACAATTATCAATATTACAGCTAATTAAAGGCTTTCATCATGACATTCAGTTATGCTAATTGGCTAATTATATATGCAAACCATGCATTATAATTACTAATATTTTCAGCTCTCTATCTTTTGTAAGAAGATAATCAATTATTCTAATCAGTTAATTAAATATGCATCACAATTACCAATATTGCAGCTAATTTGAGACTTTCATCTTGACATTCAGTTATGCTAATTGGCTAATTACATATGCAAACCATGCATCACAATTACAAACATTGCAGCTAATTAGAGGCTTTCCTCCTGACATTCAGTTTTGCTAATTGGCTAATTAAATATGCAAACCATTCATCACAATTACTAATATTTTCAGCTCTATCTTTAGTAAGATATTCCAATATGCTAATCAGTTAATTAAATATGTATCACAATCATCAATATTGCAGCTAATCTTAGACTTTCATCTTGTAATTAAATTATGTTAATTGCTAATTAAATATGCAAACCATGCATCCCAATTACCAATATTGCAGCGACTTTGAGCCTTTCATCTTTAGTAAGACATTCAGAAAAGACCAATTCTGATGTATCATCATCACTGGACCCTTTAGCTGCACCACAGTAGATCATCAATAACGGATGAGATTTTAAATCCTTGCTTGTCAGTACTTGTTTGAAATTACCTGTTAGCAACAAGAATAAATTATCTGTATTATTCAAATTTATTTAACCTTTTTACCACCAGTTCCCTCTTTTCCTGGGATTGGGGGATTGGAACAAAAATAACCATTTTTTCGGAGTAAAAACTGAAAATTGACTTAAATTTTGTCTGTTGGCTCCAAAATTAAGATTAATTTCCAGAAACATTGAATGATATTAGAAAAAATGCAGACAAATTTAGGCGAGAAAGTGTGCTGGTGAATGGGTTAAAGTCAGCAAGATGTGAAATTCTAAATTGAAGGAATATACTTACCAGCCCAAATATCCTGTACTACTGCTTTCACTTGTCGTAACGCATGGCGAACCAACGAACTCAGTGTTTTAGCACCGCTATAAGGTTCATTCTGTCAAGATAAACACATAATAAAAATTACAATTCACATTTTCCTTTCAATGTTAAACTGCTTATTTGCTTTATCAGTGGGGTATGCACTTTTTTTCTAAATTTTTTCAGTATACTTTTTCGGTTTATATGCACTTCTATTGGAGATGTGCTAATAAAACAAACGTGGTGTACAATGTATACTAATAATGGAAATACTGACTGGTTATAAAAATGAGTTAAATAATGGGGAATAAAAATATGGTCATCTTTAGCGATGCCATTCTCATTTTCAAAAAGCCCCCTAAGTTATGGAAAATAACCAGGAATAAATGGAATGAGGGGGGACTGAAATAAGTCACCAATTGAACAAGTTTAAAATTATTAAAGATCATATATCCATCAATTCACACAAAGTATTTCGTACATTAGTCCAAAAAACCTAAATGTTTCCATCTGAAATAATAGAGGGGATAATAACTACATTAATAATTATATTAATATGATTGAGGTTTTTTATAAATATTTTTATCATTTTTGAACTAGACTTGTAGCCTTATTTGTGGGTTACCATAATCCTACGGGTTGGACCTCTCCATTATTTAAACCCCTCTATTAGTGGGAACTTCCCCAAGTTTTGCTAAAAACAACTACCCTATTAGGTCTATTACCAATAGTATATCTGCTTACGTAATAGTATAGCTGTAACTGTAGTCAAAATAGTTTACCAATCCAGTATAAAATGCATGAGAATGTTAGGGAAAATAAATAAATGTAAATATTGGTTATTTTGCTTCAAAAACCTACTGGCAAAAAACAGCAGTATTCCGATAATACCCATCCACCTTTTGTCTGCGTTTCCACGTTTCACACTTTTTCTGTTTGAAATGACCTTCAATGACATCTTTGAATTTAACATTAATATTAGCACTTTAATAAAACCTATTAAACCTATCAAATAAATTCAACCACTCAAGAAACGCAAATTTAATTTTTCTTCTAACGAATCATCCAGCTCCAAAAATAATTTATGGTGCAATTAACGAGAGGATCAAGTCATATCTATTTTCCTATTATTCTAATTATGTTAATATTGAGAAATTATAACCGTATATACACTGCGGTGTGAGTCAACAAAATATTCTCAATATGTTGCCAACCCATACGTAAATGAATCAATATTGTTCCACGATGAAATGTTACACTGTGCCATGTGCACACTCAATGAAATTAATCACTCAAATATTGTAAAATAACTATAATCAGCCCAAAAGATATGCACCGCAAATTATTAATTATTCCCCCTTATGTTATATTGCTATTTCACCAACCATACGACAGAAATATATGAAATGTTTTATGTCTATTTCCATGAGATTCTTATTATACATCCACTTTTTGTGAATATTAATTTTCTTATAAATTGCAATATTCCAATTTGACTTGAGTACAGTTATGTAGGATGGCCACCTTTCGCTGATCATACAGCCCCCACAGTCCCGAGAAGTCATATAGACCGGGGATTCAACACTATGTGAAGGGTTGTATCAGGCGATTTAAGCGGCATTCAGTTTTGCAGCTAAAAAATAAACAGAGCGATACAAATCAACCTTTGCCAATGAAACTATCCATCAACACAAAATATACGTCATGTTGTTCTTGATGTATTTATAAATAAAATGTTGTTTCGTTGTGTAAAATTAATTTTCAGCAACGTTGCAGTGCTGTAGATTTTCAAGAAAGATATTTATAATGGCTAGATTGATTGATCTATGGCTTTGGCTGATTACAATCATGAAAACTGCATGAAAAGCTATAAATTTGTAGCCGGTGTCCCCGGTCTAATAGACTTCTCCGGACTGTGGGGGCTGAATGATCAGTGGAAGAAGGCCAACCTGCAGGATTGTACTCAGGGTTAACTAAACATGTCAGGTTTCGACAAAACATAAAATTGTTTTGATGACCACTAGTTTGTACTTAGTACACTTGACAAACAGAAAAGAATTAAGACAAGCCGGTAGGCTGGTTGGCGATCCGCTCCGCTCAAAAACAAGCAACATGTTTTTGGTTGTTTCCATGGTGTGACATAAACTTGAAGCTAACGTCGGTTTATAACTAATACGAGGTTCGCAAACACCATTCAGTCTTTAGAAGTTACTTAGTTTATTACTAGGACCACAGTCACTCTACTTGTAGAATGACTGTGCTAGGACGTATTCTGCTTTTACATTTATTATTTCCAACCGTTTTGCGATAGCATTTTCTAGAATGAAGCGTTTCCTGTAAATGCTGGAAAGCGAAATAATGAAATGGTAAATATTTACCTAAATTGCAGTTTGTTGACCTTCATAACAATATACTT